TTCTCCACTTCAGTGTATTCGTCTTAAAATGAGGGTATGCAGTGTAAGGATGAAGGATTTACAGCCAAGAGCCCAGGCGCCCTATCTGAATGTGAATCCCAGCTCTGCCAGTTTCCAGCTATGTGGGCTTGTTCCTGCTTAGCACTTCCGTGCTTCGACCTACTCACGTGTAAAGTAAGAGCACTAAAAAGTGCTTACCCAGGGGGTTGTGGTAAGCGGTAAGGAGGTGAAACATCTAAAGCATTTAGAGTCTAGCACATAAAGCGTGCTAAGTATTTCCCAGGGTTGTTTAATCCCAGGGCTGTGCCGCCTGAGTGTGGCCCGATTCTGGAGGTAGGGTTTCATACTGCAGGATGTATTTGTCCATCTTAGAGACAATCCTGAGTTTCACTTTTTTTCCTTACATTTATTTTAATTTAAAAGAATTACCTTATTGGGGGGCCCACGTTGTGGCATAGCAGGTTAAGCCATCACTTGCAACTCTGACATCCCATATGGGTACCAGTTCATGTTCCGGCTGTTCTACTTCTGATCCAGCTCGCGTGCTGATGGCCTGGGAAAAGCATCAGAAGATGGCCCAGGTGTTTGGGCTACTGTAGGAGACCGGTGAGAAGCTCCTGGCTGCCAGCTTAGGCCTGGCTCAGCCCTATCTGTTGTGGCCATCTGGGGAGTGAACCAATGCATGGAAGATCTGTCTCTGTCTGTCTGTCTCTCTCTCACCCTCTTCCTCTGCAAATCTTTCAAATAAATAAATAAAAATCTGAAGTACCTTATTGTCAATGAAAGCCTGGTTGGCTGGTTTCATTGGTTTATGCTGTGTGTATGTATTGAAGTATGGCACTAGACTCCACGGAAATGGACAAGTATTATATGTTAATCAAAAAATCAAAGAAGTATTCCACAATAAATAAATAAATAAAGTGCCTTACTGGGTAGGCGTCACGGTACAGTGGGTTACGTTGCTGCTTGCCAGGCCCACGTCCTGGATGAAGTGTCTAGGTGTGTGCCTGCCTCTGCTTCCGACCCAACTTCTCCTTAATGTGCACGCTGGGAGCTGCAGATGACAGTTTAAGTGCTTTGGTTCCTGCCACCTACGTGGAAGACCCAGGTGGAGCTCTGAGCTCTTGGCTTTGACCTGACTCAGCCCAGACTGTTGCAGGCATCTGGGGAGTGAACCAGTGGATGGGAGAATCTCCCTCTCTCTGTCTCTCTCTCTCCCCCCCATCTCCCTCCCTCTCCATCTTTCTGTCTGCCACTCTTCCTTTTAAATATATAAACACATAAAAATACCACATTAACAGAATTATAGCACTCTAATGGAGACCTTAATACTGGATCCAAATCCCACCCCCCTGCGCTCCGTCTTGGGCCACCTGTCCCTGCTGGCCCCAGCTGGTCCTCTCGCTCAGCAGCCCACTGACCCGGAGACTCCCTCCCTTCTTCTTCTTCTCTTCCTCCTTTTCTGCTTCTGTTGCCACCAGGCAGAAGTTACAGGACGTGAAAAATAGAAGGCTTTATCCTCACTGTAGTCTCTGTCAGACGGGATGCCTGGTGGTGTCCAGCGGTTAGCTCCCTGCCCTCTGCTTGGTGGAGAGTGCCTCAGCTACACGGTGGTCCTGAGCCCCAGAACTGGCATGCGGTTCTCGGGCCTGGGGACAGGGGACAGCAGGGCTGCCGGCCCTGAGTGTACCACTTCGGAACCCCCCAGGGCACAGGAGGCGCTTCATTTCCTCAGAGCAGATAATCAGGGCTCCACAGCAACGATTCTTTATCTCCCAAACTTTCCTGGTTTGGTTTTGCAACTGCAGCATCAAAGGCAAGATGGTCCGTAAGCGGACCTCCACCGCCGTCTTGGTGGAGGTGCTCTTTGGAGCCTGTGAGCCAGTCTTTCCTTTCTTCCCATGTCTCAGCTTCCCTGCAGCACAAGGGGGTGTTAGCCTCACTCTCTCCCCTTCCTTTCAAGCCGTCTCTGCAGCCCCACCCTGGGCCTTCCCACACTAATCTAACTAGACTGTTCCCACGGCCCGTCTTGTCTACCTAAAGCAAGAGACATTCCCAGGTTCCCAGTGCCACCCTGCTTGCCTGTTTCCCCCCATCCAGTTCCCTTGGAATGACCACAGAGAATAAAAACCTCTCTCACCAGGAAAGACTGAGTGCTCTCTGAAGGGAACCAGAGCTCTGACCCGGCTGTTTGCACTGTCAACGGCATGTCAGTCAATGACCACATAGAACATGTGAATAATTTGAATTAAAAACCATTTCCTAAGAGTCAGCTTTTCTTTAGCTATTTGAAGTCCTTCCCACAAAAATCTCAATTCCCATCTCACTACATTTTCATTATTAAATGTTTATTTCCCTATCTCAAGACACTCTGCATATATATATACATATATATATATAAAGATTTATTTATTTATTTGAAAGGCAGAGTTTCAAAGAGAGAGAAGGAGAGGTAGAGAGAGAGAGAGAGGTCTTCCATCCACTCCCCAATTGGGTTCACTCCCCAGTTGGCCGCAACAGCCGGAGCTGTGCCGATCTGAAGCCAGGACCCAGGAGCTTCTTCAGGGTCTCCAATGTGGGTGCAGGGACCCAAGGACATGGCCCATCCTCCACTGCTTTCCCAGGCCATAGCAGAGAGCTGGACTGGAAGTGGAACAGCTGGAACTCGAACTGGCGCCCATATGGGGTGCCAGTACTGCAGGCGGCGGCTCCACCTGCTACGCCACAGTGCTGGCCCCTTATATATTTTTTGAGGTTACTTCAAAAAGTTCACGGGAAGTAGAATTAAAAAATACAATTGTTGGTGTAAACATTTTTTGAAAACCATGCATACAAGGGGTTGTTCAAAAGTTCACAGAAGGGGTCAGCGTTGTGGCACAGCAGGCTAAGCTGCCACTCACAGAGGAGGCATCTCATATAAGCGACCTTCAAACCCCAGCTGCTCCACTTTCGATCCAGCTCCCCGTTAATGCACCTGGGAAGGCAGCAGAACATGGCCAAAGTACTCAGGCCCCTTATACTCACATGGGAGACCTGGATGAAGCCCCTGGTTCCTGGTTTCTGCGTGGCCCAGCAGGGAGATGGATTGGAAACAGTGCAGCTGGAACTTGAGCCGGTGCTACCAAATGGGATGCTGGTGTCACTGGGCCACAAAGCCAGCCCCTCATGTGAGCCCTTCCTGCTTCTTCCCAGGGTGAGCCCCAGCAGGAAGCTGGGATCAGGAGCCGGAACCAGGCGCCAGATGAGGCACTTCAGTGTGGGACACCAGCATCTTAACTGGCCTCTTGACCGCCACACCAAACACCCACCCCTAACTTATTTGGTAATTTCTGTTTTTCTGCAAACTTTAAAAAAACCCTCACATGGGGTCTGCAGTGTGGCAGCGTCCTGTTAAGTGCACTGTTAAGTGTAACACTGCTAAGTACACCAAAGTTAATGTATAAACTGGTAGCCGAAATGTGGCCCACAAAGAGATCTGTTATAAATATGTCTCTATTTTCAGTTTTCTGATCCTGTCTGGACAAATTAAAAGGTAGCCACGTTTGTCTTTATTCTCTGTAGCCTCCTGTCCAGAATGAGATTCATGGTGACCACAGTTCTGTGTGCTTGGCTGCTGACTCATTCATTCACTCGGCAAATATTTACTGTGCATGAGCCATGAGACAACCACTAGTTTACAAGGGTAAGAACGTGTCCCTGGGGGCCGGCACGGTGGCACAGCAGGGTAAAGTCCTGGCCTGCAGCACCAGCATTCCATATGGCTGCTTCACTTCCGATCCAGCTCCTAGATAATGTGCCTGGGAAAGCATCGGAGGATGGCCCAGGTCCTTGGGCCCCTGCACCCGTGTGGGAGACCCAGAAGAAGCTCCTGGCTCTTGGTGTTGGATTGGCTCAGCTCCGGCTGTTGTAGCCATTTGGGGAGTAAATGAGCAGATGGAAGATGTATCTCTCTCTGTCTCTACTTCTCTCTTTGAAATAAATGAAAATAAATCTCTAAAACAAACAAACAAACAAACAAAAACGTGTCCCTGCCATTAAAGAACTCCTCCTTCAAAAGACAGACAAGTGAAGAGACAATTCCAAAACTCCAGACATTCAGCCTAACGTTAAGATGCCTGGGTCCCATGTCAGAGTGCCTGGGTTCAAATCTCAGCTGTGGCTCCTGAGTCCAGCTTCCTGCTAATGCAGACCTGGGGAGGCAGCAGTGACGGCTCAAGCAATGGGGCTCCTGGCACCCTTGTGGGAGACCTGGATTGCATTCCAGGCTGCTGGCTCCAGACCCAGCTATTCTGTTTGGGGACAGAACCAGCAAATGGGGACTCTCTCTCTCTCGTTCCCTCTCAAATAAATAAGTAAAAATAAGGCTGGTAAATGCCACATTTGGGGGTCTGGCAAGCACTGTTGGGGCACTGGGAAGGAAGATGATAACGGGGAGCTGGAGTGATGCACGGGGAGGGTCCACTACACGCCAGTGTTGGGTGAATGGTGATACCAAACCTCTGTTTTCTGGAGAGTCATATGTCAGGATGTGGAATGGCATGACAGGGGGAGGGCTCAGTGGGGCCTGAATAGGTTCTAGCAGAAAAGGACATTCCGATCTGTTCAAAAGAAAAAAAAAAATCCCCCACGCTGGGGCAAGGACAGATGACAGAGTGGCGTGGGGGGTCAGGTGTGGGCGAGACAGCCCATGCAATATTATCCTAAGAAGGGCAAATTGGCAGGTGTCGGCAGATCAAGGAGGAAAGGGTGAGTGCATTATTATTTTCTTTTCTTAAGACAGAGTTTGGGCACGATTCATCCTCGGTGGTCAGAGCCCAAGCGGCCAGGGACATGAAGAGACAGGGCTGGACACACGCTCTCACTTTACAGGTACAGAGAGTCTCATCCAGTTTTCTGTGCCCTTGGAAGGGCAAGGCCACGCCCCACCCGCGGGGCGGCCCGGGGCTCCCGCCCCCCACGGGTGCTCCTCTAACTACCCGCGGGCCTCTTCCCTCCTCGGCCTCTGCAGACCCAGGGCGAGCGGGAAGAGAAGCGCCGCGCCACGGCCCTCCAGCCCGCTCCACCTGCTGCCCTCCGTCCCCAGGGCTCCCTTGCTGCCCGGGACGCTTCTGCAGCCCGGGCAGGGCCCCCGGATTTCGGCATCTCGCCGCCGGGCGCCCAAGGCCGTACGCAGGCCAGACCCGGCCGCGGGCGGGAAAATTGGCAGCCTGCTTCCCCGGACTTCCCCGGCGGCCGGGACCCCGAGGCTGGGCTCCCCGCCACTCCCGCCCACCCTCAGCCCCACCCTTCCTCCTCCCGCCCCGCCGCCTCCCCGCCCGAGGTCCCGGCAGAGCCCTGCGCGAGCGGAGCACAGGGGGCGCCGCCGGGGCTCAGGTTCCGAGCGATGGGAGGCTCACACTCGCAGACCCCGAGGGGCCGGGAACCCGCCGCGGAGAGGTCCCCCAGGCTCGGGGAGACCGCGTGAGTCCCAGATCCCTCTCCGGGGGCCACCTTGGGGGGACTGCTTGCCAGCCTGGGACGAACGCGCAAGACTTTCTGTCCCAGAAGGGCTGGGAAGGCCGGGGTCCGGCTCGCGGCACGGGGAGCTAGCGCTCGGGGGGCGCAGGGGGCTGGCGTAGGGGGACAGCTTCGCCTTGGGGGCGCCGGGCCGGGGGCTCTGCCCCCAAGACTCCGCTGCGGTCTGGCGCTGTATGCGCGCTGTGCTGGGGAGAGGTGGGGGCGAGTTTTGCGCAACGCGTCCGGGCAGGAGAGCGCACGTGTCCTGCAGGACCCGGGAACTTTCCCCAAGACAGAGCTGTGTTCAGGAAGGTGTGGGTGTTAGGACAGCTCGCCTTGGCCTTGGCGGCCGGGAATTTCGGCTCCGCGCCTGTCGCTTGCGAGAACTCCCTCTCTCGTGTTTGCTCCGAGGGCCTCATGATGATCTCAGAAACAGGGCTGTGTTGTGGCAGCAGCAATTGGGCTTTTGTTCTAGGACAGGCACAGTTGGGGACGCCAAGTACCGTCATGCGAGCCGTGAAGGGGAGTTTTTAGAAAACGTGATTTAGAGCAAGTGCCACGATTTGGAAGATGGCAACTCGACAAAGACAATGTGTTCATAACGGCTCGAGAACCCAAACAGTCTTAAATGTTTTCATTAAAAAAAAAAAAAAACTTTTCAGAGTGTGTGCAAGTCTCGGAGAGAGGCCGCGCTGAGGAATCCACACCCTTTATCTTAATTCAGCCAAAGTCAAAGCGAGTTAGAGAAAGATGCACCTGCCCATCATGTGGGCTGCCCCAGCCACACAGGAGAGCTTTCTGATGCTCTCCTGTGAGCGCCACAGACTAATGAGAGTCTTTTGAATGCAAAGTAGTGCTGTGAATATGTAAATACCAGGTGTGTTAGCTGTGCCTCCCCTGGTTCACAGGATGCAAATCCAAACTTAGTGTGGGCAGCTTATTAAGGTTAAGACCCATTGAGACTTATTGAGCGTGTGTGATGTGCAAAACACTTCTAAATAGTGTGTGTGTTCTTGAATCCCCAAGGACACTGAGTTAGTTTCTATTAATGTCTTTATTTTACTGATAAGGAAATTAGTACCGAGAGATCAAGCCACTTGTCCAAGGTCACATTTCTACAAAGTGGTGGCCCCCACGTTGTCTTCAGAGCTGGTGCTGCAACCTGAGGTTTGGGGCTGTCCTAGGAAACACACTTTTGTCTCAGCTGGCAGAATACACACCCGTTCCCTTCCTCTCCTCCCAAGTAAGGAAGGAATCAAAATTAACAACGCTTGAGAGAGGGAGAGAGAGAGAGAAACAGCCAGTGTGGGGCCAGGCAGAAGCCAGGAGACAAGAACTCCACTGGGTCTCCCACATGGGCTTCAGGGACCCAAGTGTGTGGGCCATCATCTGCTCTTTCCCAGGGGTGCCTTAGCCGGAAAGCTGGATTGGAAGGAAGCAGAGGCTACACACTTCCACATGGGTTGCAGGCTTTCCCAAGCAGTAGCCTAACCCGCTGCACCACAGTGCCTGCTGCAAAGTCGATTTAACCTTTGAAAACCAAAGAGGCCATGTAACACTGGGGTGAAGTTAAGAGTTTTGGAGGCAGGCAGCTGCGGCTTTAATTCTAGGCACTGTCCTTGAGGGGTTGGAGAGCTTTTATCTGTGTCTCTGCTTTCTCAGTTGTGGAGGGAAATGATATCACCGACTTTCTGGGCTGTTCGGAGGTTGACATAAGATCATGTGTAGGAATCACGAGCTGTTTTATCTCTGAGTTAGTACAGAATATTGTTTAAGCCAACGATGAAGTTTTATTTCATCTTCGGGGCTGTGTGGCCAGGTTTCCTGTGCAACTTGGAAGTGAAACTAGGAATCCTTCTCGGATGCGTGCTGAAGAAGTGAACTCCGGGCATTGCATTTGCACTGGATTCCCAGAGGTTTGCCAATAGATGAGCTTCTGCACGTACCTTACATTTTGCAAACCTTACCTAAAAGTGATCCGTATAAAATCCCATCGTGGGCCTTGGCCTAGGAGCACAGCCCTTCTGTGTCCAGGTGAACATATGGAGCGTGTGAACACGAGAAGTCAGCATCGGGGTTATAGGTCTCATCAGCGCGTGCAGGCGTGGCTTACAAACCACTTGGCGTGTACAGGTACAGCTCTTTAGAAATAGAGACTCCAGAACTGTAATACACAGGGAAAGCAAAAAGTGTGCTTTCTATCTGAGTCTGTACACAGTACAGATACAAGCCCAAGTCTCTCCAGGGGCCAGGAAAGTGGGGGATGCATTGTGAGGGTCACTGGCTGCAGGTTTCCTGCCGGACACATGGCTGTCGTGGATAACACCGACCGCAAGGAAGTTCAACTTCGGCTGTGGCATTTCCAAAACCTATTGTTCCTTTCCTTTAAAAAGCGCGTGGAAATCATATGTGCTGATGTTGAAATTAGGTTTCAGAATGCTCACAGTTTGTGTTCAGAATAATTTAATCAGATACTACAAGTTAATAGATACATCTCTTACAAGAATGCTATTGTGAGATATAACCAAGTGTAGATGAACACGAAATGTCTGATTTTAAGACTCGTTATTACTGACAGTTGTAGCTGCCGACAGTCTCCAAGCTGGAGGAACAAGGGGCTGGCTTTGGTAAGGAAACCTCGATTGAATTCTTGGCTTACGGCTCGGCCGAGCTCTGGCTGTCGCAAGCATTTGAGGAGTGAACCAGCAGATGCAAACATTCTTTCTCTCTCTCCTTTTCTCTGTTTCTTTCTTCCTCTTAAATAAAATAAAATAAGTAACTTTTCATTTGGGCAAATTTCTGCATCTTTAAAATGGCCAAAGTTAGGGGTCTAGTATTGTGGTATACCGGGTAAAGATGTCGCCTGCAGCTCCAGCTTCCCATTGGGCATTTGTTTGTGTCCCAGCTGCTCTACTTCCCATCCATCTCCCTGCTGCTGGCCTGGGAAAAGCAGCGGAAGATGGTCCAAGTGTTTGGGCCCCTGCCACCCACAGGGGAGACTCAAATGAGACTCCTGGCTTCAGCCTGGCCCAGCCCCAGCTGTTGCAGTTATCTGGAGAGTGAACTAGTAGTTGGAGACTCTCTAGCTCTCTCTGTCTCTCCCTCTCTGACTTACAAAGCAAATAAATCATTTAAAAATAAATTTTAAAAATGGCAAAAGTTGTGTATATTATTAGCACAGGGCATGGTACCTAGTGAGTTACTATCAGTCCATTGATATGCACAGGAACCTGTGCATTGAATGTAGTGCTGGGTTCCTTGGGCAGCATGTTCATGAATGAGCTGGGTGTCTTCTGAGGGGGGGCTGATTTGTGTGCAGTCACTTTTCTTTCTATAAGATTATTTATTTATTTATTTACAGAGAGGCAGAGTGACAGAGAGAGAGAGAGAGATCTTACGGCAGAGTGACACACACACACAGAGAGAGATCTTATAGCTGCTGATTCACTCCCCAAATGGCTATAATGGCCAGGGCTGAGCCAGGCCAAAGCCAGCAGGCTGGAACTCCACCTGAGTCCAAGCACTTGGGCCATCCTCTGCTGGATCAGAAGCTGAGCAAGCCAGGACTCGAACTGCTGCTCTGATATGGGATGCCAGCATCGCAGGCACTTGCCCTGTGATCAATTTTGGGGTGAATTTTCCAAATGTATTTGGGGGCCACGGTAGTTTGAGGAAATGCTGGAAATTGTGAATTCCTGAGTTGGCTATTATTTTTGGCAGTGTGGCTGAGAGGTCTCTTCAAGCAGTTACTAACTGGTGGAGAGGTCGGGGAATGACATAACACAGAGCCTGGGATTCACTGGGGAATCTGGTGCGTGCCTAATTCACTACTGAGTAATTGTGTAGCTTGTTCGCCTGGAATGCAAGATAGGCACCTGTTGTTACTTCTTACTGGTTCTATTTTAAGACCAGTGTTTGCATTTGGAACCTGGCATGAAAGAGCAGGCCAGTGGCAAAGTCAGGAGAACTTTCTGAAACCTTGAGTGGTTTTGCTGTTTAACATGCTGATCATGTAGATCCGATACATGCTGTATGATGTTTGGTGAGTGATACAGTCAGCAACAGCTAAGCTGAAATGCCTTCTGATGGTGAGTCACGGTGGGACACATGGCTCTGACATGAAGACAGAGGGGCTGGCTTTGACGTTTTAGACCCAAAAAAACATGGCCCAAAATGAGTAACTTTTTTTTTAAGATTTATTTATTTGAAAGGCAGAGTTACAGTGGCAGGGGTTGGTTGGGGTGAGTGGAGAAGGAAGAGGGGAGAGAGAGAGAGAGAGAGAGAGAGAGAGAGAGAGAATCTTCCACCTGCTGATTCATTCCGCAGATGGCTGCAATGGCCAGAGTGAGCCAGGCTGAAGCCTGGAGCCTGGAACTCTGAGTCTCCAATGTGGGTGGAGGGGCCCGAGCTCTTGGGCCATCTCCCATTGCCTTCCCATCCAGGTTAGCAGGGAGCTAGATCAGAAGTGGAGCAGCCAGGACTCAGACCAGCACTCATATGGGATGTGGGTGTTGCAGGCAGCAGCTTACCCAGCTGTGCCATAATGCCAGCCTCCAGGGATAAACATTTCTGAAACCTGTTCCTTTCAAATTTATGGCATTGCCCACTATCCTCACACCGCCCAATTTTTATTGTCATTAAAAACACGTCAGTTCCCATTTGCTGTAGCTTTTAAAATGTGGATGTGAAAATGTGTGGTTTTTAAGGGAAAGTTGGCTGGCCCCATCTCTGTTGATATCAATTCAAAAGGAAATGGTTGCAGGACAAGGGAATTACTTGTGCGAATGTATTGAGTTTAGACACAACAACTTCTAGACTGTGATGGTCACTGAAATAGTAAAAAGAGTTGCTAAGGGAAGAAAAACCCCCTCTCTACAAATCCTTAAAAGTAAGAGAAATCTTGGGCCAGCATTGTGGCATAGCAGGTAAAGACACCACCTGCAGTGCCCACATCCTGTATGGGC